TAAAACCAATCACTCCTATAGGTGGTTACTCTTCCAAAATATAGAGCCATTGTACCCTAACAAGTACGGAAACAATTTTTTTTTTTTTAAATTTGTGCGTGTCGGACACCGACACGTTCCGATACACGTTCGACATGTGGTCAACATTTTGGGTTACGCAGTCAACGCTCCGACACGTTCCGACACGCTTTTCCGACACGCAGTCAACTTTTTCCGACACGCGGTCAATGTTTCGACACATTTTTTTTTAGTTCTAAATTTTATTTATTTATTTATTTTTTGGTATGCTATTTTATTTTATTAACTAAACATAAAAAAATGATTTATAAATCAATTTTTTCTGTCATGAAATTTGACATGAAAAATTAACAAGGTATGAAAAATTATTTTTGTTTATATTTATGTTATGAAATTTGAATATTTGATTGTTTATATGATTTATTATGGGCTGTTATATGTATTAAATATAAATTATATTATATATATTAAAAATATTATTTAATATCAAAATGTGTCCCGTGTCAAAATATGATATTTTTAGAATTAACGTGTTGGCGTGTCATGTCCCGTGTCCCGTGTCAGTGTCAGTGTATTATAGATTGTACCTATTCACATTTCCCTTTTGTGAGTCTCACATGAGATAGCACTTAAAGTATTTTTCCTTGAGGGCGTACCTATCTTCTTCTTCTTTTTTGATAAACCACAGCTATCCTTCAGGAAGACAATTCTATTTGCGGTGGGTTCAAGATTAAGACTTTAAATCCTCCTAAAGATAGATAATATTGAAGAAGATCAAATACATGTTTTCACCACCATTTACTCAGTTTTTACTTCTTATCTGCTAAATGAGCTACCATCATTTGATTAGCACTTACCTTTCTCTAATGCCATAACAATTTAGTTATATATATATATATATATATATATATATATATATATATATATATATATATATATATATGTCAAACATGAGAGTTTAAAAAATGAAAAACAAATATCCATTCTATGGGAGTGGATCCTCTCATGTGAAAAAGTGGTCATGTGGTCATGTTATTTGATCACTATAATAGCCCTCACCTAATTAATTAGTAGATTACATGTAATTAAATAATTATGCATGTATTAGTGAGTAAAATTAAGTATAAGGCTTAATTAAATGAATCCGAGTCACTTTGGAGTTAAAAAGTGTACTCAGTGAAAATTAAGGGGTATAAATGGGTGTAGGCAAAAGTACCCAAAATAAAAAAATAAAAGTGGAAATATTCCTTCCAGACTTTTGGGTAAAGTTTGGTAATTAATGGAGTCGAATAGATAGACGAACTAATACCCACATGTTACCACTTAACTTATGTTAAGTGATAAAACAAAAAAGAAACCCAAACCCCCCCCCCCAAGAAACCCGTCGACAGAAAGGGGAAGAGAAGAAGAAGAAGGAGAGGGAAAGAGAGAGAGGAAACCATAGAGTGAGCAAACCTTGGCCAAATCAACTCATTCCAAAGCCTAAACCACTCCAAATCTTCTCCTCTTTCATAATCCTAGCTTAGTTTTTAGTGGGGAGCATTGTGGAGTGGGATATCCTCCTCCAAAAATTCGGCCCATTGGAGAAATTGAGGTGTTTGAGAGCTTCAACCTCCATTGGAGCTTGAGGAGCCATCAATCCTTGGTTGTGTGACCATTGGTGATAAGATTCTAACCCTTGAACCTTGTTTTCTTGGAAAATTTCATGGTTAGGGTTTAATGAATAGTGTTTTAAGGTTTTTATGAAATGTTGATAGATTGGCTATGTTCTAGGCGTATTGGAGCTTAGCTTATGTTGTGAGAAATGCTAAGAATGATGATTAATCGGTGAAAATGAGCTTAGATAGTTATATGACTATACCTTGAATATTGCAAGAATATGATACTTGGTTGTGAGTTTTCTTGCAATTATGCTCAATGGTTTGGCTTGGTTGATTGATGATTGTGTCCCTGTGATGTCTAGGATTGAGACATTTGGACCAACCGTGAGTGATCAACCATTGGAGCAAGCTATGGAGCTTGATTAGCTCCTTGGAATAGGTAAGCTCATGCTAAGTTGTGATGTAGAGTTGTTGTGGTATTAATGAGTATATATGAATATTCATTGGATGGCATGATTAATACTATGGCACCTTAATGTAGGTGAAATTACAAATAATAGTTGGAATTAAAGTTGACTAGTTGTGGAACCTGTTGGTGGTAAACAAAGGTTGACTGAAGCATTGAGGTAAACCTTCGGACCTTGGGTGTAATTCCCTTGATTGTTCCACCAAGCCCTGAAAGGGTAGTGGTTGTTGATAGTGTATATAATGCAATGAAATAGTGTAATGCTTTGTTATACGTATGTGTATGTGTTTGGTGTGGCATAGGATGGTGTTTCCTTATGTTGGTGTGTTGCATGACGATGCGTAAATCATACTTGGTAGTTTAGCTGGCTAGTAGGACTATTTGCATCTGAGTTTCCTTAGGACAGCTTGAGAGCTCGAGGGATTTCTCCTGGAGATGTGATTGCACTTTGCATAGATATGTATTTACTGCATTATTATTGTTATTGCTATTACACTGATATGGAACTGTGTGGTGGAGAGATGCTCCAAGGACCCCTGGTTTACTGGATATATTTGTATATCTCACCCCGTGTTATGGGGGACCCCCTTTCAGGTAAGGATGCTGCAGGAGCCACCAGTGGCAAGTGGCCATACTTGGACTAGTAGTGATGCATGAGGATCCTGTGTTTTGATATTATACATGTTGTTTTGTAGCTCACATGTATAGGATTGTAATTAATAGACAATTGATAGATGTATGTTCTGTTTATTTGGAATGGACTTAGCCTATGCTCATGCCTTTGGTTATCTCTTCGTTGATGGGAGCCAAGGGAGTGATCATAGTGTTTTGTAAGCTAAGTTCCATGAATTGTAATGAACATGATTTGTAATTGATGATTACCTTAAGCTCATTATATGCATGCCCATTATGTATTGGATTGTTGAGCTGGAAAACTTGATTATATACCTATTGCTAAATTGGGGAATGTTGAGAAAACAAAGGTTATGCTGCCCAAATTTTAGTATAATCCATGAGGAGAGGTTTGATCCATTGAGGCTTGCCATGGGGATGCCCTTTCCCTAGTTGTGGACTTGAGAAATGAGAGAGGGAGAATTCCCTGGCAGCGCGCTCAAGCACCTAGGAGCGCGCTCGAGCGCCCTGCTGCCCCTGTGAGAGCTAATGCTCTCTGCCTCCTCTCGCTGGAGCGCCCAAAGTGGGGGCTTAAGCGCCCAGGATTACGCGCTTGAGCACCCTGGTTTGCGCTTAAGCGCCCTTCGCTGCGGAAAGATGGGATGCTTACTGTCTCCGCGGGCTTTAGCGCCCAGAGTGGGGGCTTAAGCGCCCAGGGTTGCGCGCTTGAGCTCCCTGGTTCGCGCTTGAGCGCCCTTAGCCACTGAAGGAGGAGATGTTTCTGTCTCTGCGCGCTAAAACGTCCCAAATGGGGGCTTAAGCGCCCAAGATATCGCGCTTGAGCGCCCTGGTGCGCGCTTAAGCGCCCATTTACACTGAAAGACCTGATGCTCTCTGCCTCCGTGCGCTTAAGCGCCCAGATGGAGGCTTTAGCGCCCGATAACGCGCGCTTGAGCGCCCGGTAGCGCGCTGAAGTGCGCGGGGCCTGTGTTCAACACCCTCTTGTGTTGCTTCAAATTGTCATAACTTGGGCTAGAGTGCTCCAAACGAGGCGCGGTTCGAAGCCACGCGTAGCTAATGATTAGAAGAAGACATTTAATAACCTTTGGTCTAAGGATATAAGAGTATGATGTTAAGCTTAATTCATTTTATTCCGCAATGTAATATGGTTATGATCACGCAATTGGGCATTATAATTCGGCATGTTTTAAAATGAAAAATTTAACTGGATTTTAATTGAACTCGTGTGATTGTAACTGCGCTTAATATCATAATGCGATGTTAACAAACCAGTTCTAGAACGGGGTGTTACAATCACAAACACTTATTGATGATAAGATAAGAGAAATGAAAGTGTATAATATTTAAATAAGTGATTGTGATCAAATAATATGACCACATGATATTTTTTTCGTTTGAGAGGATTCATTCCCCCGTTCTATAGAGGAAGTTGCAACGCTGTAACTGCTGAACACAACACATATCCCATGTTGTATCAAAATATTCCCATTTCCCATGGGTATCACATCACTAAATCGCGATACCGTCTAGGGAAAGTCACTTTCTTTCGTATCAATATTTTCTAGGTATCCTATTTTTGGTTCACATAGTAATATATGTACGTATATATTCATTCTTCTTTGAATTGAGTGCCGAATCTTGAATCTCAAATATTCCATTATATTATCAACCTTTGGAAACAGGGTATTCCTTTTTTCGTTTGTTATTGCTTCACATGGAATTAGTAATAAGTTGCAACGTCTCCTATCTGGAAAGTAACACCTTTTAGGTTCTTGGCCAACAACTTTGCGACGCGTCAGCAAATAGAATCGTTTCGCTGATTATACCATTTAAACGGAAAAACAAAAAACAAAAAACAAAAAACAAAAAACGTGCATTGGGTCATAGCTGTTTCCGTTCAGTTTCACTCCACCGGAGACTCCAATTGCATGTTACGGAAACACACGCATAATTAAAATAACAATTGTGCCCTTCTTTTTTGGGGGGTGTTGGTTTCCTTCTTGTGCCTCTTTCTGTTTTTTCTCGCTACAGTGCGCAATGGTTTGAAGTAACAATAAAATAACACCCATCGCTACAATGACCACTTAGCTAACTCTCTCTCTCTTGGTCTCTTTCTCCAGTTGGTGATGGTGGTTGCGGAGAAGATGATGAAATCATGAATGTGGTGGTTTTTGAATAATCACGAAAGAGTGATTGAGAAAGAATAAGTCACAAACAAACACAAACACAAACACACATTGATACACAGAGAAACACAGTGAGAAAATTGAAAGCGAAAGAGAATGTTTAAGCTGCACAAGAACAGGTCTCCGAAATCAGATGACAGAATTGAGTTCAGAATCTCTCATTTCAAGGCCTCTCAGGTTCATTCCCTTCACTATTTCTCCTCTTCCATCAATGTAACTAACTAACTAGCTATTGTGTGTGTTTTTGCGTTGCTTAATCACAATGATATTTCATTGATGCAACTGAAAATCTTAGATCTTAATTTGGAAATAATCAACATTGATAAGGTGTTTATTTTTATTTTGGAAAAAGAAATTGTTATATGAAGCACTTCAATATTTTGGGAAGAACAAGGAGTGGTAATTTTCAATGGAAAGAACATGTTCGAAAGTTTATGAAATCTAAGTTGCGGATCGTGGTGCTTTGTTATGAACAACTGCATTAGCTGCTTTGTGGTCTCTGTTCTCGTGGAATGCAGAATAATGATTAATTTTTTGTCACAAGGATTAATAGTAAAGCTAAATTTATAAAATGTCTTCAGTGTAGTGTTCAAGTGGTTAAGGATGAGAAAAGGTAGTGTTATAACATTCCACGATTTCATGGCAAAAATTTTGTTTTAGAATTGCATAACCAAATGCTTTCAAGTTTCAAATGATGTTTCAGTCTGAGGCCATAAAAAAAAAAAAAGGCTGGTTCGGTAAATAACAAATGCTGATTCTGATGTTAGCAGGTACCCAAGGGATGGGATAAGCTGTTTGTTTCTGTTGTCTCCGTAGGAAATGGTAAAACAATTGCAAAGTCAAGCAAAGTGCCCGTGCGTAATGGAAGTTGTCAGTGGTCGGATGCTTTTTCAGAATCTGTATGGGTTTCAAGAGATAATTCTTCTAAGGAGATTGATGATTGTCTCCTCAAGCTCACTGTTGCCATGGTACTATCATCATTGCAGTCCGTTTTGTTATTGTGTTGTTCCTTTATCATAATCAGCTTTATCAGTTTGAAATTTCTCTGTTTGGATTATCAAATAAATAGTATCACTTGACAGGGATCATCAAAATCTGGCATCCTGGGGGAGGCCACTGTTAGTATGACCAGCTATATGAGTTCAGATGCTGCTATTCCACTCTCAGTCCCACTGAAAAAGTGCAACCATGGGACAGTTTTGCATGTGAGTTATACAACTGAATCTATATTTTTATTTTTGGCTGACTCCAGAAAATGAAAAAGCACTCCCTTTGTGATTTCTTGGATAGTTCTATGTCATTTTGGATTAGATTCGAAGTTGATTTTTGTCAAATTGAGGGAAAATATAACGTCGGTAATCTGGAATATGTTGCTGAGGGGAATTGAATCAACAAATAAAATATTTGGATGCTTGAAATATGCATAAAGTGGTTTTCTTCACATATTTCCTTTTCTTATGAATTATGATATGTGATGTTACCAATTCACTTAATACAGTAATCTTGGACAAACAATAAACAACCTGCTAGAAGTCACCGGTTTCGAGTACGAGAAACAACTTCTTTGCAAAGATACAACATGCGTACAATTAACTCTCTTCTTTACCCTCTTTCCTACCCTCGCTGGGAAATAGTTTATTTCCTTCTTGCAAATGCATCATTCCTTTGTGACAAATCTCTGTTTCGTTAACATTACACCACATGATGATGGCACTGTCTTTTGATTCTTTTTCTTGTGATTGAATGTTATTTTTTCAACTTAATTTTCATTCAACTTTTCTTAAACGGAGGAGTGGTGCATGAGACTTAGGTCTTCGTTATGGAGATCATGACCCCATAAGTATTAGACGATCACATATGCAACGGTTTTTCACTTCTTCCTTTTATAAGACAGCTACTAGGTTCTTCACTTTGAAGGCATGTGTTTCGCTCTTTCATTTTAACTATCTACATGAAAAATTGTATTTGTTACCCCCTTACCCTGCTTTGTTGAGAACCCGATATCTTTTGTTCATCTCTGCTCATTCAAGCAGTATTCGCTGTGATTTTTCTCTCCCAATATAGAGGCAAACTATGGGCTCTTATTACCAATAGTGTTACTGTAGCAAAATGTCATTGAACTTCAGAGTTGGGAATTCAGTGGTTATGCATTTTGCAGGTAACTGTGCAGTGCCTTACACCGAGAACGAAACACAGGTTTGTATTGGAGGTTACTCTTTTGTATTATAATGTCTATTATTCTAGTAAGTATTTATCTCATACACTTTTTCAGGGGTCAAGAATCAAGTGAGACAAATACCAATTTGAAGGGCCAGAATGAAAATAATCATGATGTGGCTGTCAAGTCAAATGGATCTGTTTGTTCATATGTACAGAGTGTTGAATCTTCCTCTGTTGACGATTTGGATTCTCTCTTATCCACTGGAGAAGTTGAGGCTAGGGTAAAATTAAAAAAATTCCCCCATATATTCATGTCTGTTCTGTTGCACAAATGGTTATAGATTTCTGCCCATGCATGCATATTGATAAATATAATACTGTGCTTATACTGATCTAAATCTTCAATCAATTATCAGGATTAGTTTTCCATACTAAAATAATTATCTAGTTTAACAGTTTGTTTAGATTTACGGTCTCCTGGACTCCTGGTGTACCAGGAAGCACTCTTTAGGTTTATACTTTGAAAACTTAGCACAGAAGACATTGCGCCATCTCCACCAATTCCAATTAAATGCCCTTTTGTGAGCCTCAAGTATGCATACGTTACTATTTTTGAAATTTTTTTGCGTGGAGATGGTAGCTGTATTTCATCCCAATGGTTACTTTATATGTCATCCATTGTACATAGTTGTCTTCATTCAGGGTCCAGGAAACATAGTTGTCATACATTCAGTTGTGACGTAATTTACTGTTGGCCTGTCTTTATCATGATACAAGTGATACGTTGCACCTTGGCTGCAGGCAACAAGCTTCTCTGGATCTGTATCAAATTGCAGCTATAACTCAGCTGAGGGTTCCACAGGAAGGGGAAACTTCTCCCCATGTGTCAGTGATGGGCAGAGCCCTACTGGAAGACAAGATTCAACCAGTTCCCAGAAAAGTGTATCCCATCACGATTACCCTGTGAATAAATCTTCTCAGTCAAATCATTCATCATTTAATTCCCAGAGTATGCAAGACGTTGGTGCATCATCTTCTAAGATGATCAATGCTTCTAATAACCGTCTGGAAGCTGCAGGAGACTCAAGTGTAGAGCTACGCGCAGAAGCAAAGATGTGGGAGATGAATGCCCGAAAGCTAATGGGTGATTTGGACATATCAAGGACAGAATTCTCAGATCAGTCCAATAAACTGGCAGATCTGGAAATGGACCTTTCAGCAGCATATGTAGAGCGTGATAGTTTGAAAAAAGAAGTTGAACAGTTAAAATTGTCATTCGAGAATCCAATAGTGAAACAGAAAGCATTGGAAGATTCAATATCTCAAGGTGAATGTATTCCAGAAATTGAAAAGGCTCTAAAAGATGAATTGAAGTTTCAGAAAGAATCCAATGCCAACTTGTCTTTGCAACTGAATAGGAGCCAAGAAGCAAATGTTGAGCTTGTTTCTGTTCTCCAGGAGCTGGAAGAGACCATAGAACGCCAGAAAATTGAGATAGAAAACCTTTCATCATTGCCCTCAAAAGTCAGTGATCTGGATAATTCTTTCCAACTGAGTATAGAAGAAAACAGGAGCTTAATGCAACAACTAGAACACTTAGAGGAATCAAAGAAAAATCTGCTGGTTAAGGTGCAAGAGGTGGAAGATGCCTTGGAGGACAAAAGGCGAGACACTGATCATAAAAAGTTTCCAAACAACAAAACCCTTTCGCATATTGAAATGGAATATGAAAGCAAATTATCTACTAAAGAGGAAGAAATTTTAAATTTGAAAACAAAGCTGTTTGAATCTCTTCCAGAAAGCTGTAATGCGGAGACTGTGTCCAGAAATGCAGGTGATGCAGATCTTTTGAGGGAAATCGAAGCGCTGAAAGAGAAAGTTCAAGAACTTGAGATGGACTGCAATGAGCTGACAGATGAAAACCTTGAGCTTTTATTCAAGCTAAAAGAAGCAAAGAACAATTCAAAAGATGGAGGGGCATGTGAAGATCTTTTGTCGAACAAGCTCAGAGATCAATCTTTTGCTAGCTTTGAGTCTGAAGCAAGCAACAATTTATTTCGAATATTCCATTCTGAAGACAAGCTCCATGGGGAAAACACCAAGAAGATTAGCAGTGATGATCATGTTTCAGTTCAAGAGCTTGAAAAATTAGCTCTAGAAGTCAGAATCACTGATCTGAATAAGGAACTAACTAATAAAACATCCGAGACAGAAAATCTCGAGGCTAACTTGTCATCTAAAGAAAAGGAGATTGGGGTTCTGCAGAAGCTCGTGAGTAAGTTGGAAGCCAAGGTTTATCATCTTGAACAAGAAAATAGTCAACTAGAGGAACACATGGAGGTCATGATGAAATCAAGAAAGCATGAACTGGACCTCCACATATCAGAGATAAAACAAGAAAAAGAACAATTGTCGAGGCACGTTTCTGTTTTAGAAGCTCAACTGAGAAATTTGACAAATGAACAAATGTCCCGTTTATCAGAACTAGAGAACTCTAGATATGAAGCTGAAAGGCTTCAAGAGAAGATTATGGAGATGCAGTCTGAGATGGATTCTTCGAAAGAAGATTTGAAACAAAAATTAAAGGTGACACAATTTCAATGTTCAGAAGCACAAGAAGAATGTGAATATCTCAGAGGAGCTAATCAGCAGTTACAAATTACCAATAAGAATCTTGCAGAAGAATGCAGTTCTTGTAAGAAGCTAAATGGAGATTTGAGGCAGAAAAAGCTGGATTTAAAGGAGCATTGCTCCCTCATGGAAGCCAGGTTGAGGGAGTCAGATCAAAGATTTGGTGATTGCTCTGAAAGAGTGGAACTCTTAGAAAAGAAACTTGTTTTGATGCTGGAAGATATTGCATCAAAAGAGAAGCTTCTAACTTCAGATTTAGAGGGTTTGATTGATGAAAATAGGAAACATATGGAGCAGGGTCAAAGCTTGTTGAATCAGATGCAATTGGAGAAGATGGTAGAAATTCAGAACCTTGAACTAGAAATTGAGAACCTCACCATGAAACTTTCAGCAATTTATGATGAAAAAGAGAGAATAGCTTCCAATGCTTCCCTTGAAGTATCCTCATTGCGCGCTAATAAAGCCCTACTGGAATCTGCTTTTGAAGAAGTTCAATCTAAATTGAATTTGTCTAAGACCGAGGTTAATATGATGCAGACTCAATATGAACAAAAGCTGAAAGACCTAACAACTGAGCTTGCTGATTTCAAAATTAAGGAGGAAATGCTGATGGCTGAACATGAAAAGTTGTTGAAGCTGGTGGAGGATTACAAATCAAGAGAACTGCAATTAAAAAGCACTATGAATGCCCTTGAAATAAAACTTACAGTCACTGAATATGAAAGACAGCAATTCATGGACGAATCTGAAAATTTAAAGGTTCAGTTGCACCAGGCACATCAATTTGAGAATGAGATTAGGGTTCTCAAGAATGAACTCATTGCTTCCAATTCTGAGAAAGAGAGACTGGAATCCTCATTGCACCTGACATCTGAACTATGTGAAGATCTGAAGGCAGAGAAGACATCATTTGGACTGAAGATATTAACCTTGGAGAAGGCTGCGTCTGAATTGGAGGACTGCAACAGAACTAGAGCATCCCTAGAAGAAAGGCTTATGCAGTTGGAGAATGACTTGAAGGCAAGAGAAACAAGATGTGTCCAGGATACTGAGCTCAGTCACATCAAAAGAATAAATAGGCAGCATCAACAGACCATACAACTGCTTGAGCAGGAAAAGGCTGAGTTTCAGACAAAGGCCCGAGCACTTGAAGAAGAACTGAAACTGATTAAGGAACAAAAACGAAATCAAGTCTTGAAGTTAAACAGGAAATGTTTACCCGTTCACGAAGATCCGAAGGCCTCAAAAGTTAGTGTCTCTTTTTCATTGATGCATGATAGCATTGTAAAGACTGGACTATTAATTTTTTATCTTTCTTTCTCTTTTTGATTTAGCAGAATCCTGTGGGGAAGAATTCCAATCAAAACCGCAGTAATAGGAAAAAACCATCCTTAAAGAATGACAGAGAAGTCACGAAAGATCAAGAGGACCTTTATTACATCAAAAAACATCAGACTGAGGTGATATGTTTTGAATATTATCTTCATTCAATTTTACCTCCGTGTCAAACGTGACAAAGTATATTTTATATTCAAATTGTATGGTCCAAAGTTACATCAAATTATTGCTGTCTCACTGGAAATGACACCGTACTTTTCAATTTTTCTTTTGTTTCATGTCTCCTTTTTCTTAATAGGTGGAGAGTGAACATGGAATTCTTGATGAAAGTGTTCATGTTGTTGAAGTAGATCCAGCATCGAAGATTCAACCTGAACAAGTAAAAACAAAAGAAGCAAATAACAACTGTGAAATTCAACTTAACAGGTTAGAGGAACACATTATGCATTCAAAGAGAAAAAAGAAAAAGCTTTTAATCTGTGTGTATTACCCCTTATGCTGTTTCAGTTATTAGTTTGAATTTTTTTTTTTTTTTTTGAGCTTAATAAATATCAACAAAAGCTTTTTTCCCACAAGGTGGATTATTTTGAACTATTTGAACAGGACAATTCCTCTGTCCTAGAATATAATATGTTTGAAATTTGAATATATTCATACCATTGATTGATTTGAACAGATTAGGACAAATTTATGTGTGTGAATTCTTTATTTTTATTAATTTTGCTGATGACAAGTTTATAACTTCTTACATATTTGACTGTTCCGATGTTCAGACTTAAAGAGATTAATCTGTGGGATATTTGGCTCACAACATTCATTATCAGTTGAGATTAAGTACACCACATAAAGTTTACTAGAAATACAAGAAAATCTGAGTTACACAGAAGATGATGCCATACTTCTTGTGACTAATATCACTTCTCACTTAGCATTCATGGCAAATCGCACACGAAAAGTGCAAGTCATCTGCATGATTTCATGCGCATCTCGTTATATTATTTTAGTAAAATCTTTTGGTTCTGCTAAATTTTTTTCCATTTTGCATCAAATGGGTCGAAAGGCCTCGGATGGATGAAAGGCTGGGTGTCCGCTTACAACCAAGAAAGACTATTTTTTTTATTAAATTTAAAAGAAGAGAGAGAGAAAAACAAATAAAGAAAAAATTAAAAGAGTAAAAAAAAAAAAAAGAACAGTGGTGTTCTCATTCTTCCCCTGATGTCAAGGACAAGTCTACAAAATGATGTCAAATTCCTCGGTAATTGATTACATGTTTTTGATATTAAAGCAAAGGATCCATTTTTTACTGGTTAGACTATTGAGGCTTGTGTTGCTTTCCTTTTAGCAATCGACTGGATTTGGAAGTTGGAACCACGATTAAAACAGCTGAAGTCAACATGCAGTAGTTAGGAATGCTAGAAGATTGGTACATTGTTCATAGAAGTCGTAATTACTCTGCTGTTAATTTTAGAAGCCAATATTTTTGTTAACAAGATATATCCTTATGATACCTTTGGTTTAGATCTACCTATAAAAGTAGGAGTTTGAAACATTAGAAGGAAACAGCCAGTTAAATACCTTTGTGTATTGTTTTAGTGCATGCTTTATTACTCATAAAAAGTCATTTGTGTTATAAAATTCCTTGTACTTTTGTCCTGCAGGTCACCATCTCAAGGCCAAAACAACCAGACTAATGGCCGAGTAAAATCAATGATTGAAGGAGAAGTAGTGACCAAAGAAAGATTTGAAAGTACCAAATCAATGCTAGAGGCAGAGTTAAGTGATATTCAGGAGCGCTACTTCCACATGAGCCTTAAATATGCTGAGGTAGAAGCTGAGCGTGAAGAACTTGTCATGAAGCTCAAGGTGGCCAAAAACAAAAAAGGATGGCTCTCATAGAACTACGAGTCTACGACCAGTCCAATGACTCTTCCTTGAGGCTGCCAATCTCAGGTACCTTGTTACACGAATTTGAAGTGTCCCAGATTTTTCAATCTGCAACAGGATGTATTTTTTAAAACGAATCATTGATTAGGAGAATCACTATAATCGTTGTTGTAAATATCAGAAATTTTGAAGGTAGAATTACACTCAGCAGGTGATGATGTTAGCGGTCAATAGTTGCCCTTTCATTTTACACTGCTTTTTTTGTATCTACAGGATGGACCCATTACATAATTTCTATCATGCAACTTTCATTTTTTGAAGTGCTGTTATTTTTTAATACAGAAAATAGGAACATATAAAATGAAAATGTCTCTTCCATAGTGCCAGGTGACCATCCCACTAACAAAGGAGAGCAAGCAATAGAATTACCTCGTTTGCGCACTGTCCTGGTCCACTTTAAAAAGCATTTGATACGATTTGAAACAACTCGTATCAAATAACAAACACATAATTGTTGCCAAAGATAGATAAAATCTCATTAGCATCTTTGGAAGAAAAAAAAAAAGACAATACAAAATTAAGAGCTAACCCAAGCAATCATCCAAAATGCCGGATGACCTAGGCAATTGGAAAGAGGGGTATATTGATCAAAAGAGGTGGCCTAATCAAACTGAATGGTGAATACTAAATCCCCGTCCCTGACCAAGTCAAGTCTTATATATTTTTATAACTATTTGAATTAAGTCAAACTTGTTGATTTCCTTGGTAACACTTTATTAGCTATGTGTACCTAATTAATTTATTTGACTAACAAGTCAAAATAAACTTTTAATCAAAATGTTATCGGTGAAATATTTGCTGGGTCATTTACCTTTCATAGCTACATTTTATTCTAGACAAAAAATAACAATAGAACTTTATAATTTTGTCCATGATATCTACCACCGACTACAATGGTGGCTGTTTAGATCTCCATTTCCACAATATTTTATGCTTTCAAAGTACCTTTTTCTACCAAACGGACCCCCTCCCCTACCCCAATAATAATAATAATAATAATAATAATAATAATAATAATCTAACATCAATCCAAGAATTGAAGTATCATGCTGTTTATTTTGGCATCAAATAATATTCTTCTTTTTCGGTTGTTCAAAGTCTCCACTAATACCAACCGGCATAAATACCGTTGTTTGTTTTACAAAAGAATTCCTTCGTTGTGGAAATAAAAAACACATGCTTATCTCAGATAAGCTGTAACCTTTTCATGTAATTGGCATCTTCGAAATATCTCTTGCTTTTTTTTTGTTTTTTTGTTTCTTTCTCACCCTTCTTTACCTAGATGAATGCTAGTAACACAGATGAAGGGAAAAGGCAAAGGTTAAAAGAAATAAATGAGGCCAGCTTATGCTCTATCGGTGCTATTCATTTGCTTAGGATCAGGTAATTGATTTATGAGTAAACCCCACTTATTTCTTGACTTATGATAAGGGAGTCTTTCTTAAACCCCCCAAATTAATTACATAAAGACTGGTCTCAAAATGCTCTTCAAAGATTAAATCCTCTTGCGAAGGCAAGCATTACGCAAGCAAATAGACTATCAAACTTTGATCTAAAGGTGGGGCAACAAGACAAAGAATGATGGTGAGTGTTGTCATTAAAAATATGAAATATCACCCATACAATAAGAAAAGCTATATAAAAGGCTGACACGGTGCGGCTTAAAGCGAAATGCCTAGTTACCTAATATTATTATAACACAACCTAAGGTTTTATAGTGTAATATTTCCTAGTAAAGGATGAGACCATGACTGCCCAAATCAATGGTAAAATATTCAGTGGCGCATGGCAGACGCAGGTGCAGTTGTATAGTAGTTAGTTTCGTTAGGTTCTATGTTTTTTTTTTTTTTTTTTTTTTCCAGTTAGGGTAAGGGAAATTGGGAAGGTTATATATCAAGCATAATATGATGAAAAAAAAAGGAAAAATTTGATTGGTGTTCGGTGAGCTACCTATGCATTGTTTATTTATTTTTATTTTTCTTAATATCAACTTATGTCAAAGCCCTAACGAGATTCACTAATCCGATTTTAGATGAGCCCTTTTACCCTCCTCACTTTCCCGTTATTACAACTCTCATAAATTGAATCCAGTACCCTTTGGTAGGTCAAATCCTGAGATGCCTATAGATTAATAACTCTTGAGTTATGCATTGGTCTTTTAGGAACATGGTAAAAATACCCAACCTTCTTAAAATTTCACTCCTTAGAGAATTGCCTATGACAACTTAATATTTTAGTAACAAGCTTTTAATATTAGTGTATAAAGAATAAATAATAACCCCAAGGTGTACTTCAGTTGGTAAACACACTGCAGCTCAAAGGTCGTCTTATTCTAAGGTGTAGGGATACCCTGAATTTACTCACAAAAACGAAAAAAAATAAATAATAATAAATGGGAAAGATACTTATTTTTTTTACTTCCAACATTAAGTAAATTAAAATTAACACTCAACAATAGAAAAAGAAATAAATTAATAAATAGAAAAAGTGTTTATCCTTCTAAATGACACAACTTATATCTTTTTACTCTCACAAAGACGTGGGTCTCACATCTTTATGTTTTTGTCAACTCTCTCTCCTCCTTTATTTATCTTTTTCTCTCTCTTAAAATGACATAATTTTACATCCTTTAAAATGACACACATTTTTTTCTTAATAAATTGGATCTAGTTGTTTTTACTTTGTATTTCCAGATGAATAATAAGTCATTCCCATCCAAAAATGAAGTTTATCATATTGGGTCAATTTTGTTAGCCCAGGACTCCCCTGCTTCAAAGGATTTGTTAATAACAACATCATATTTGTTATCCTTCAAGAAATTGAGCAGTGAGGAATAAAACGATCTCTCTTTAAACAACAGTTGGGTGGCGAATTTGATCAAGACTAAAATATATAACTCTTAGTGTAGCAAAGATGAATTCACGTGAGTAGAGAAACAGAAAGGTGTTACTGTTTGTCATATGTGGAACAATTGGTAATGGCATATCCTTTGGAAGATGCTAAATTAAGAACCTCCATATCCCTCTTTTTCACTTTAATTCTGTCCCCTTTTTTGTTAAAGTCACCCCCAATACCACACAAGCTACTTAAGTCATCTCACACCATAATGACCCAACAAGCAAATCCTATAACAACCAATTCAAGCTACCATTTCAAACCCTCTTTGAAGTACACCCCATCCCAAACATGTAACATCACTTCCAAAGCTCTCAGCCACCTCCAACTGCCCCATGGCACCACCTTCCATCAGAAAACTTGGCAGTGGGTGGTGGTGGTGGAGATCATGTGGATGGTGGGTATGATGGTATCTTCATATATCCTCCTTTTCTTTCAAAGAATAAGTTAAAAGTTATCCGGGAATGAAACCTTCCTTGTTGAAGGCAATTTCTCTTGGAAAGGGCAACTTCGATCCTTTGGCATTTTTCAATTCCTCCATCTCACTTCACTCTTTGTGATTTGAGCTCTAGAGGGTGCTTTCAAAATGGCAACATCACTATTATGTACTGTACTGTATTCTCTCCTCTTCTTTTCTCTTAGTCCTTGTTTGTGATGTATTTTCAACTGCAGGCTATGTTCTTCAGTATGATCATGCCTAGTACTATAGACTATGATAGGTATCCAATAAATGTATGTATAGGCCTCTGGCCAAAGTGAATTGTTGTTGTCGTTTATATGAGTATGGGAAAAAAATCTATGACTATGATCATGTTATTTTGCTAGTACTTTTGCATCTTACATTATTTCTCATTTAATTTAGCTTAAGATTTTTATTGCACATAATGGCACAAAATTACTGCGGTGGACACATATCATATATAATAAAGATGCACTCCACTATCCAGAGTGGTAAACGTGTTCTGCAACTTCTTATAGGAAAACATGACCATTATCCTTTCTTCCTGAGTGATCCGGTTAGTGCTTCATGTTTCTAGCTTCCTCAGCTGAAAATAACTGGCAGATTTGCTTTTTTACTTTGTAGGTTTCCACTTGCCACAAGTTGTCCTTTTCTTTCCTTTTTTTTTTTGCTTTTCCCTTTTTCTCTATTTTTTTTAGATTATCTCTCGGTAATCCCATAGGTTCTTGTGGACTAATCTGGAGTTCGGGAAATGTCTAACATTAAGACTTTAAACTCTTCCCAAAAAATAATACTGGAAAAGATCGAACATATGCCTCAACTCCTATGCGTCATCTGAGCTACTATCATTTAGTTCTTAGTTCTCCCTCTTTTCTCATTCAAAAGATATTAATATTTTTCAGTCAGTTTTAGTGTTTGCGAGTAAGCGACATGCTAGCTGATGATATTCCATTCATACGTCAGTGATATCATCAACGTTGGTGTTTGGTCAGGTTCTGGTGGTAATTACAAATTTCTACGCTAGGTATTGGTTGACACTCATACAAAACAAAAACTATATCTAATAGTTATTATTCAATTACAAGGGAAAGCGGGCCCCAAGTAATTTAAGCGTCTTTGTAGTTACGTCCAAATCTTGAATCTAGATTAACATGATACTTGTTCAACGATTTTATATGTCTAATGTTTAGTCTCTCTAGTTTGATAGTTTAATTTCCAAGGGACTCGTCTAACTGCGTTTCAACATGCTTACTGCAAAATTAAGCAGTTATCAGTAAGTTCATATTTAATTTCTTGCCGGTTGTTATCTGGTATACATATTTTTGTATGAGATAAAATATATAACCCAAGCTCCGTAGGCAACAATCACATATGATTTTATATATAAGCAGAAATCAGAATGTGTATATGAGTATGTATACGTTATTTTCTTGGAGGAATTAAGATCAAGTGAACTTGGATCGGGATTTATATCAACATAAGTCAGTGAGAGGAAAAGCAGAAAAATCTTTTCTGGGCGTTTGTTACAAGGTTTGTTTTAAGATTCCCGGAGAAACTGAAAGTGATAATCGTCGTATTTATTCACGGTTGGTACAAG